TATACAAAAAACCTCCCCAAAAAAAAAAAAAAAACCCATAAAGTACAAGACATTAGAAATACTAGAATATGACAAAGCAATGATAAACAGATATTAAATTCTCTTATTTTTGGAGCCAGCAGATGCTGTGGTGGTTAAGGCTCTGGATTCTCACATGGCTGACAGCAATTCAAATCCCATACCCGGTGGCTTGAAAATCACTCTAGGATGGGGCCAGCAGGTGGTGTAGTGGTTGAGGCACTAGATTCGCACGTGACCGACCATGATTCAAGTCCCAGACCTGCAGGTTTGCTTTCTCACTTTCCTTCTTTCTCTCTGTCTCTCTCTGGTCAAATTAAAATAATAATAATAAATAAAATTAAACAAATAATTTTTTGTCTGGCGTGCACGTTTGCCAGACAGACAGAGAGAGACAGAGAGACAGAAAGTGAGAAATCATCCCCCAGGGGAGATGGCCATGCCACAATCCCTTCTCCTCCATTCTCCTCTTGGGCACACACGTACACGTGCCTGGCGTGAGTTTAAGCCACCAGGTCTGGGATTTGAACCGTGGTCAACTATGTGGGAGTCCAGTGACATAGCCATTATGCTAACTGCTGGTCCCCAAATAATTCTTAAAAAAAGAAAGAAAGAAAGAAAGAAAGAAAGGAAGGAAGGAAGGAAGGAAGGAAGGAAGGAAGGAAGGAAGGAAAGAAGGAAGAAAATCACTCTAGTTGTATGTGCATGCATGTCCAAAATCCCAGGAGAATAGAGGAGAAAGGATTGTGGTGTGGGTGATTTCTCATTTTCTGTCTGTCTCTTTCCAGCGAGCTCACATACTCTATGGCAAAAACAAACAAAAAAAACTTTTAATTTTTAGTTTTTTAGATTTTAGCCACAGGGCATATGCAGGTCGATGGTGTCAAGGCAAACAGGTAAGCAGAGGTAAAGGCCAATGCAGAGACGTTTTGAAGTTACTGTCTGGGCCCCTGGGTCCAGCTGTGCCCAAGTTTAAATCTACCTCTAGATTCCCAGACACGTGAGCCAATGTGTTCCTGTGTTCTCCAGATGGTGTGGACTGACTCTCTGACCCTGAACCCCAATGTCCTAACTAGGCTAATTCAAATATCTTCAGTAAGTCAGGTCTCCACCTACCACTAAAGGAAAAGACCTCAATTAATAAGTACAATGGACAAAGCTTGTGATTAAAAACTCAACCAAGAAATATAAATAAGTGTTGATTTACATTTCCCTCCTTTACCAGGAAAGGCCTGTACCCTCCAGAGAGGAGTTAATTCTATCTGGGACAGAACTCTTGGAACTACTCCCTGGGTGACACGGGCCTCTCCCTGGTGACGGACCTGGCATGATTTCTATCTGCTCCTCCCGAGGTCTCTCCACCGCCAAGAGAGCGAGTGTCCTACAACTACCTGAGCCGCAGATGGCTTCCCGGGACCACGTTTGCCTGGTTACATAAACCTCTTGCTTGGTTCTCTGAAATAACCTCACTTAAACACACAGGTGAGAAATCACTAAGAGCACCTTGTTTCTGAGACGTTAAGGAACTGAGCAGGCTCTCCCCACCGCCGGGCCCTTTAGGCACGAGTGGCTACGGATGCACGCGTGCGGTGGGAGGGGTCTGGGTCGTTAGCTGGGTCCTTCTTGCAGCCCTGACCGCCCTCCCGCGTGGCGTGCAGCAGAGCGGTAACGAAGCCGACAGCTCCTCCAGGCACGATTTCCTTCCGTAATGCATGGCTTCTTTGGAACAGAATCAATTACGGAGTTTTATTTTATTCTGCCTCCATAACTCGGTTATGGATGATGCTTCTTCAGTGTTGATGAAAATGCCCTTGGAGAAGGGGCTGATGTAGAGCAGAGAGTATGTCACCACCTCGTCAGTGGCACAGACAGGGACAAGTGACAATTCGGTGTGCACACTGGGGGAGGACCTGCCCTGGCTCAGCACCGTGGGACATCCAAAACGAGCAGAAGACACCATCCTTGTTCTCAGAAGTCCTCAACCCACTACAATTCAGAGCTAAGATGGGGAGGGGGAGCCATCTATGACTCACAGACAGAGCAAGTGGAAGACAGGACTGTGAGGAGGCAATGGAAGAGGCCAGGCGAAGGAGGTGCACACTTGTTCCTTTGGGACAGGGGAGGAAGTTTAAGATGGGCATAGGTGAATACAGATATATGCACATTTATCTTTTTAGTTTGCGATAGGGCACGTACACATGTGGAGGCAAGCTGGGGAAAGAAAGTGAGAAATCACCTCCATGGGGGATGGCCACACTGCCATCTCATTTCTCCTCTTAGGATTTTGGGCACACACGCACACGTATCCGGCATATTTTGTTTTTCAAGTCTCTGGGTCAGGACTCTAGCCACCCAATCTGGCATGTGGGATCCAGCCACCTTAATATCCACGCCACCTACCGTCTCTGAGCACACATCTATAGGGTACTGATGTCACCCGGAATCTGTGTCTCGTTCAGCATAATGTGTTAGACTAGAAGCAACAACAAACCATTAGCAAGGAACACCCATAATGCCTTGTTCTCCTAGAAGGAACCAGGATTTCTTGGAAAACTGTTACTCCTGGCGTAGGTCAGAAAAATGTCAGACTAGTAAAGGAAGGTCAAGTGCACAGAGAACAAGTTTGAAAAGCTACTACTGACTACTCTTGTGACAATTTGAGCAATGGAAAGTAGGACTGTGGGACAATCAGATGGCATAATGGTTACATGGCTGGACTCGCATGTAGTCAACTGCAGTTCGAGCGCCAGGCCCGGTGGCTTACAACTCACACCAGGTGCGTGTGTGTGCATACACAAAATCCCAAGAGGAGAATAGAGATGGCACTATGAAGTACCATCCTCCCTGGGGGTGATTTCTTGCTGTCTGTCTCTCTGGTGGGCACATGCACAAAAAGTCTCTCAAAAAAAAAAAAAAGAAAGAAAGAAAGAAAGAAAGAAAGAAAAGTAGGATTGCAATAGACTGAAACATATAAAACATTAAAATCCTTGGGCTCATAATGGTACTTCAAATTATTTTTTTCATAGTTACATTTGGAGATGCTTAGTGGATCAACTCATCTATCTGGTATAAACAAAAGGAAGAAGTCAAGTATTTATCCTGCCTTTGCAAACATGGGGGTGGATTTTTTTCTATAGAATTATAGGTAACCAGCAGTTAGCATAATGGTTATGTTGCTGGACTCCCATGTAGTCGGATCATGGTTCAAGTCCTGGACCCAGTGGCTTAAATTCACGCCGTGTGTGTGTGTGTGTGTGTGTGTGTGTGTGTGTGTGCGCGCCCAAAATCCCAAGAGGAGAATGGAGGAGAAGGGATTGTGGCATGGCCATCCCCCCTGGGGGGTGATTTCTTGCTTTCTGTCTGTCTCTATCTTTCTGGCAAGTGCACGTGCCCTACAGCAAAAACCTCTCAAAGAATTATAGGTAACACAGGCCAAAGGAATGAAAGCAGTAGAACATCACACTCCGTGACTCCCAGTGAATAATCATCGAGGCACGGCCCACCGGTCCC